TTGGGTACTAGTGATACCTAGACAAAAATGGATTAGGCTTGGTCCTCAATAAGCTTAGATTCTGACAGTGGAGACACACACACACACACACACACACACACATAGGTGTATATATATATATGTGTGTGTATATATGTATATGTATACACACATATACATATATGGATGTACATATATTTAATATCTTTATATCTATAAATGCTGTATATATGTTTTATCTGTATATATTGTATATATGTATATGTTTTTTGGGGTAGCAAGGAATAAGACGCTATCACAGGTAGCTAGGTGCTTCAGTGGATAGAGTGCTATACTTGGTGTCAAGAAGACCCAAGTTCAAATCCTGTCTCAGATACTTACTTGCTGTGTGACCTTGGGCAAATTACTTAACCACTCTGAGCTTTAGTTTCCACATCTGTAAAATGGGGATAGTGGCATCTGCCTCACAGGGTTGTAAAGATCAAATGAAATAACATATAAAGTATATGTAAAATGCTTTGTAAACCTTAAAGCATTATGTAAACGCTAGCTACATTATTATTATTATTACTTGCCCAGGGCCTTATATCTTACTAAGGTCTGAGGTCATATTTGCACTCAGGTCTTTCTGACCCCAGGTCCAATGCTCTATCTTCTGGGCCACTTATTTGTTGCTGTAATTATATATATTATATCATATATTGTATATGTTATAGTATTATAATATAATGTTATATATTATATAATATGAAGTCAATTATTAATTCAACAATAATAAATTAATAAAATAATAATCATAAAAATAATAGTTGTTGTTACTACCTGGCCAGATAAGGAAAAGCTGCTCTATCGCCTGTGCCACCTAGCTGCTACTACAATTATAGAATAAAAATAGTAAGTAAATGATAATTATTGTTGTGGTTACCAGCTGGGCAGACCAGGAAAGGTTTCATGTGGAAGATGACATGAGTTGTTTTCAAGAATCAAGGGATCCTGAAAGGTGGAGGTGAGGAGGAAATGTATCCCATACATAGGGGACAGCCAGGGCAAAGGCCCAGAGATGGGAGGCAGGGCACACATCCACTAGTTTGGATGTGTGTGAGGTAAGAAAGTGAAGGCCGGAGAGCCAGTTGGGCCTGATTGTGAAGGGATCCCAGGGACAATAGTGAGGCACTGGAGCTTTTTGAAGATGGGAGTGATATGATCAGACCTGGGCCTTAAGAAAATTCCTTTGGCAGTTCAGTGACAGATAAATTGGAGAGGGGAGAGCCTTTAGGCCCCACACTAAGTAGGAGGCTATTGCAGTAGTCTAGGAAAGAGTTAATGAAGGCCTCAACTATGGTGGTGGCCATGTGAATAGAGAAGGGCATGGTTTCAAGAGAAGACTTGGAAGGAGAATTAGCAACATTTGAAAACTTCTTGGCTATCTGGGGTGAAGGAACTTGAAAAGTTGAGAATGTACCAAGGTTGTGAAGAAGGTTGTGGTGCCTCAATAGAAATAGGAAAGTTTAAAAGAGGGTGTGTTTGAGGGAAATGAAAATGAGTGTTGTTTTGGACGTATTATTGATAACTGACTGCATTTATATAGCACCTACTATGTGTCAGGCACTGTGCTAAGTACTTTATAAATATTCATCTCTTTTGGTTCTTACAGCAACGTTGGAAGGTAGGTACTATGGTTATGCCCATTTTGTAGTTAAGAAAATTGAGACATGGCTGAGTTTCATCTTATTATTTCCATTTTGAAATGTCTAAAAGGCAGTTGGTGAAGCAGGAGAGAAATCACCTATATAAAGATAATAATTAAACCCAGGAGAGCTGATGAGGCAGAGAGAAAAAAGAAGAGCCAGGACAGAGCTGACTCCAATGCTTCACTGTATTGTTTGGGTGACCTTAGGTTCTTGTCTATATTTTTAAACTCTGGGCTCTTGGAGGCTTTGCTAGGCCCTGTGAGGGCCTACAAAACTACGAATTCTTCAGGTACCAGTCACTTGCCATGTACCAATCCCAGTGGTGCTTAGAAGGTTAAAAATCCAGAATCCCATCCCATATAGGACCTTTAGAATTTCTTGAGTCTATCCTTTTGCCTCAAAATAGGGCTTACTTTAAATTGCCCACCTTAAGAAAGATATCTTTCAACTTTAAAGCTCTTCTGGAAAAGATATTTAATGGTCTTCTTTCGGCATCTATCCTCATTCCTACACCATCAGCTACAATTAATTCAAAGCTGTATGTGGTACCATTAAGAATGGTGAAAAATGAGTTTATTTGGTTTCTGTATTAGTAAGAGAGAAGGGGGTAGTACAAGATTGAAGGGAGAAGGGAAGGGTTCATGTGAGGAAAGAGGGGGAGTGTAGAATTGACCAAAGAATGTTTATGAATGATGATAAAGTTTACTCCATCTTGTCTAGGTCCGTGTTGCGACCATCCGTAGATCTCCAGATTACTCTCCCTCATCTCCTAATTTGTTCAATACATGGTTTAGAGTCTTCTCTCCCCTTGCCCTTGCCCCTTTCATAGGCCCTGGCCTCCTCTTTGCTCAGCATCTTCAGATCTCAGGATCTCTTTCTCTAATCTATTTGGATCATCCAGTCATTGAAGTCGGCATACCTTAGCCTTTCCTCTTCCTTTTCTCCCCTTCCTACTTTACTGAATTTATCCAAGATGCCAGAATTCCTATTTATGGCTTTGTAGAACTCTGTTTTTCCCCCTACCACACTGTATCTCTGTCAGTGTTGGAGTTTGGGGATTCTTCCAGTCCTTACATGCAGCCCACACAAACTCTCCACTTGGCCTCTCTCACAATTAGGTGATATTTTCTTCACTGGGGAAGGGATAAGTCCAGCCTTAAGGAGTCCTATCCCCTCACCCCAGCTTTCATTCCAGTTTGACCTTGGGCCCAGAATCCCATATTGATAACTGGGTGGCTCCTTCTTCGTTTGGTTCCTCCAGCCTCACAGCCATTTCTGATTTTCTTCCCACATCAGAAATCATACCTAGTTTTCCTTGGCTTCAATATGTAGAGAAAGGGAGACTGGATGGGGAAAGCTGAACCAGTCTTCCTACCCTGCCTGCTCCTCCTTCCCATTCCATGACCCTACTACATAAATATTAGTTCCTAGGGGACTATGAACATGAAGAATATATGTCCCTTGCCTTTGTTTAACAGGAAAAATAAGACATGGATATATACAAATAAGGCATATTGAATGAAATACAAATAAATGAAATGTTCAATGAAATATTAAGTGCTGGTTCAGCAGAAGGACAAATTTGTTTAGGCCCAGGGGACCAGGAAGTGATTAATTTTTTTAAATTTATTTTTAATTTATAGAATAAAACAAGCATTTCCATAATGTAATAGGATAAAAAAAAGATGATTGCACATGAAACTGCAGATCTATTATGTACAACTTGTTATTCCTTTTAAATATATAATAAAATTACTGTGTACATTTTTCTTTTTTTTTTCCTTTTTTTCTTCCCTTCCCCCGTCCTAGAGATGGCTACCATTAGGCACAAATATGTGTGTATATGTATGTGTGTGTGTGTGTGTGTGTGTGTGTGTGTGTTTGTAAAATAATTCTATACATATTTCCATTTATCAGTTCTTTCTCTGGATGCAGATGATGTCTTCTTTCATAAATCCTTTGTAGCTAATTTGGATATTTATAACAGTCAAAATGACCTAGTCACTCAAAGTTGCTCTTAAAACAATATTGCTGTTACTGTGTACAATATTGTATTGGTCCTGCTCGTTTCGCACTTCATTATTTTGTGCAAGCCTGTCCATGGTTTTTTAAGATCATCGAGCTCATCATTTCTTATAGCACAGTAGTATTCCATCACAATCATACACCACAACTTGTTCAGCCATTCTCCAATTGATGTATACCCTTTCAATTTCTAGTTCTTTGCCACCATAAAGAGAGCTGCTATAAATATTTTAGAACGTATAGGTTCTTTTCCTTTTTCCCTAATCACCTTCAGAAATAGACCTAGTATTGGTATTGCTGGGTCAAAGGGTATAGCAAGAAGTGATTCTTGAGACTGGCAGTTGAATTGACTTCAAATGGAATGTAGAATGTGAAGCACTGGCATCAATATGCTCCAAAACCCTTCCTGAATATTACTGTTAATACTATTATAATATTACTATGATTCAAAGACTAGAAATGATAGCAAGAACTATAACTTTTAGTTAAAAAAGTATTCCAAGTGCTTCCCACACATTGTTGCCAAGATTCACATCTCAGGTTATTCTTGCAGTTCAGAAGTAGAAACTGAAACCTTATATTGTGGATTTTGAGACCATCCTGTATGGGGATTGGTTGAAGGAACTGAAGGTATTTAGCCAGAAGTGGAGAAGACTCAGGGAAGAACATAATAGCTGTCTTTAGGTGTTTGATGAGCAGTCAATGGAACAGGACTGAGACTAACTCTGTTTGACCTTAGTAGATAGTATCAGGGACACTGAGTGGAAGTGGCAAAGGAGCAGGTTTAGTGGTTTAATCTTGATTTCATTAAGTGCATCCTCATAATTAAGTTGCCCGTAAGTAGAAGGGGCTGGCTCAGAAGGCTCTGGATTCCTCCCCATTGGAGGTCTGCAAGAAGACCCCATTTTTTTCCCCATTCCTCACCTCCCCTCTCTCCAAGACAGCATGCATTCTGATATAGGCTATACATGTACAATCATATTAAACATATTTCCACATTAGTCATGTTGGTGAAAGAAGAATCAGAACAAAAGGGAGAAACCATGAGAAAGAAAAAACAAAAAAGAGAGAGAGAAAATAGGACCTGCATTCAGACTCCATAGTTCTTTCTCTGAACCACATGCATTCTCTTGTCTGCTCAGGCCAATGAGCTCCATTTTAGGAGTGTATTGCTTAAGTCACTCTAGGGACAAGAATAGCAGTCCAAGTCTAGTGTTGTATTCATGGTTCTGGGCAGCCACTCTGCATTCTCATATACTGGGTTACAACTTCATTAATCCCCGATCTTATGTATGTTCTTTTAAGATTCATACAGGTTTACAGCATCAAATAATCTGGCCCTGTCAACCTAGCTGCATACCCCTTGATGAAAAGCTGCTGCCCGAACTTCTCCAGGAGGCTGGATATGTCACCCATATGGTTGGAAAGTGGCACCTGGGCATGTTCCGAAAAGAGTGTCTTCCAACACGCAGAGGATTCGATACATTCTTTGGTAATGGAAATCCACGTGGCTCTTTATAGTTTGGTCCAACTGTAGCCCTGTAATAAAACACACTCAACTGTAATCAGATGAAATAACTGGAAATGTCAGTGCCGAGTGAATCAGTCTTTATTATGCTATCTCCATAAACAAATTCCTGCATTGGCCATGTCCAAAAATGTATGTCTCGTTCTATACCCTGAATCCCACATCTCTCTGTTAGGAAGTGGGTGTCAGGTTTCATCCTGGGTCTTCTGAAATCATGGCTGGTCATCGTGTGAGTTAGTGATCTTAAATCTTTTTGCCCTGGTATATTCCCCATCTGGTTAATCTTTTGCTTTCAAAGTGAATAGAATTTCTTTCCCTGGGTAAGGTGGAGGGAGAAATACTCAAAAGTTTCCTTGAGTTTCCTATGAATGGCAGGGATGTTTACAAAGATAATCCTTTTTGGAAGGTAGTCTAAACAAGTGGGAAGAACCCTGGATTTGGAGACAGAAGACCTGGGTTTGAATCCTGGCTTTGCTACTTACTGCCTCAGTAATCTTGGGCAAGTGGGTTTCTTCCCCTTTGGGCATCAGTTTCCTCATCTGAGAAATGAAGGGGTTGGTCTAGATCAGGAGTCCTTAACCTAGGATCCATTAAATTAAAAAAAAATTATCTCCTTTGTTAATTTCATATCAGTATAATTGATTTCCTTTGTAATCTTATGCATTTTCTTTTATGCTTTTAAAACATTCCCAGGAGTCCATAGGCTTCACTGGCCTGCCGCAGGGGTCCACAACACAAAAAAAAGGTTAAGAACTGGTGTAGACCACTTTTAGAGTCCCTTCTAATGCTGAATCCATAATTGTATGAAATGACCTAAATAGAAATGGCCTAATAGTCCTGTAATAGTAAATTTGTATTAAAATCTGTTTAAATTTTTAAAAATCTTTTCTTCAGTGTCTTATTGTTAGGGAGAACAAATCAGGTTTACATTTCCTCCTCTGCAATGTTTCCATAATACTCTAAATATTCCTGCCATATGGCTAGCATTATTATTATGTGTTGACTGTTATGTTTTTTTTTTTAAAGTCAGGGATTGAATTGTTTAAAAACATTTTTTATGTTTCCAAAAAAGGCACAGGTAACAACATATTTTTAGGGGCTGATGGCTTTCAGAATATAAATTCATGTTTGTAAATCACTGTAAAGATAAAAAACTCTGTAAGCTCATAATAATAATTATTATTTTATTACTTGAAATCAGTTTGGCGGTTAAGCTATTTGTAAATTAATGGAGCAGCACAAAGAAATATGTGAACAAATAGCTGTCATTTCTCTGGTGTCCTCTTATTTATTAGATCTTTTCAATATTAATATTTGGCACATATATAACATCTTTGTACCAGACTTCTCATCTGGATAGATTCCCCCAGATGATAAACCCATTGTCTGCAGTTTACAGGTGGACAAGCTGAAGTGAGTTCCACAAGGTCACATAATAAATCATTGGTACGGCACAGAAATAGAGTACTCCTCCCTATCCCCCATTCCCCCCCCCAAGTCTCCTAACACCTGATCCACCCCCAACGAATACAATATGATTTTTATAAGAACTTTGCTTCCTTCGATGCAAATGAAGTAGTTTAAAGCAAATGCTTCAGGTTTCTAGTGCTTTGACATATGAAGGAATGATTTTATAGGGTGTGTGTGTGTGTGTGTGTATTTTTTTAACCACAGTATTTTGAGAACTTTGCACGGTTCCTTTTTTTTTCCTTTATTTTAGCTTTTAAAATTTTTTTACTTTGCCTCATTATGCCTCTCTGATATTGCTCAACAAAAAAACCATGTAAGCCAGAGAACAAAGCATTTGTTAACATGAGGGCCTCTGATTTGATGAAACATGGAGGATGGGGAGCTGTTTGAAAAGAATAATAGGAACAGAGTTGTTGAGCTGGAAATCCCCTAAGAGGACATCTAATCCATCCCCTTTGTTTTACAAACAAGAGAGCTAAGGTGCAGAGATGTAGAGAGACTTGCTTAGTATCCCATTGTTTTTATGATAATGTGGGAGGTTCTTACTGGGGAGAAGGCTCTTTCCCTTACCCTTATCTTCAGGGAGGTTTGCCATGATCTGCCTGTAGATGGCGCCTGTAATAAAGAACAAGGTTGTCCATATTACTGTTTTAAGAGGAGATAGTAAACGCTCATTTACAGAACTATTGAAGAGGGTACCCATTTCTCTTCACATTTCTTAGCCATGTACATGGGACAGGCAGGCAGGCAGTTGAAATCTGACTCCCTGGATGAATTTAAATATATGAAAAGTCTAATTTAAATACAGCTTTTGAGTTGGTTTTATGAGTATTCCATGTAATGGTCAGGGGGCTTTATTAGGAAAGATTTGTGTCTTTCACCAGCTGGGGTCAGCATCTGATTAGGGATAACTCGGTACCACACACAGTCTGAGGATATCAGGAACAAAACCATTTCACGTGCCCCCTCCAAAGAAAGCCAGATGTCCAGATCATGCCAGCATCAGCTGTTTCCTGAGCTTCTTTCTAACTTCAGAAGTCAAAGACATCATTCTCTTTACTTCATTTGATCTCTGAGCTGTTTTTACGTATTTTGCTGATATCACCCGCTTGCCTTATAAAACAGCGAAGCTGCTGTTTTCCAGATCTTGCTGAGGTCATAGGTTAGACTGGCACCACAAATGAAATTTTTATGCTTTATAGTATCAAATATAGAGATGTTAAAGAATCTTGCTCTGATCAGCCTTGTCATCTGATTAGCCTTGTCATGGGTAATCAATCGCGTTAGGCGATTAAATGCTGAAACATTCATTTATATAATAAGTCTTATGCTGTGCTGACGGCTTTCATCTTCCATTCTCATTGCAGGGTATCTCCTAGGTAGTGAAGATTACTACTCCCATGAACGCTGTGTGCACATTGATGCCCTGAATGTCACCCGATGTGCTCTTGATTTTAGAGATGGAGAAGACGTTGCAGAAGGATACAAAAATATATATTCAACAAATATATTTGCGCAAAGAGCTATAGACCTTATTGCCAGCCATCCGGCTCAAAAGGTACATTCTTTCTTCTTTTTCTTTCTTTCTTCCTTTCTTTCCTTCCTTCCTTTTCATTTTTCTCTTTCTTTCTTTCTTTCCTTTCTACCCTCACTTCTTCTCTCCCTTTCTTCCTGCCTCCCTTCCTCCCCCACTCTTTCCCTTTTTCCCTGTCTCCTTTCCTCTCTCCTTACCTCCCATCTTCCCTTCCTTTCTTCCCCCCTTCCTCTTTTCCTCCTTTCCTCCCTTCTTTGCTTCCTTCCTTCCTAGAAAATTGTTTATTGCATATGTTACAAGGTAACAAGACGTGGATTAGAAGATTCTACTTTGAATGGCAACAGCAAAAGTATTGTAATCTGGAGCAGGTCAGACATAGGCCTTCTTCTCTCCGTTGGTCTAGATGAGTGTCTTTGCCATGGTCATATGATGTCATACATCTTCTTTAAGACCTGCTTGATCTGATGTTTCTTGGCCTTGACATCCATGATACATACCATGGTACTGTTGTCCTTAGTCTTCTTCATAAGTGACAGATTGGTCACAGGGAACTTGATGGCATAGCGATCAAGCTTGCTCCTTCTAGAGACACTCTCCTGAGGGTATGTAAAGTTGAGCTGCCTATTAAATTAAAGTGCATTGAGTCACTAAAAGGTACAGGACAGTTGGATCATCTTCTTTTGGGTCACCCTTCAACAGTGCTTTATTTTGTCTAGAGGAAGATAATTTTCTTTTTTAACCTTTGATGCTATCTTGTAAGAAAGGGCTCATTGTTTCTTTACAAATAACGAGATACCAAGCTAGGTGGTACAGTGGATAGAGTGCTGGGCCTGAAGTCTGGAAGATCTGAGTTCAAATCTTGCCTCACACACTTATTAGCTATATGACCTCATGTAAGTCACTTAACCCCTGTCTGCCTTGACTGTAAAAAAAAAAAAGTATAGTAATAACACCTATGTCCCAGGGTTGTTGTGAGGATTGAATGAGATAATAAATTGTTAAGTGCTTGGCAGAATACCTGGCACACAGTAGGAGCTATGTAAATACTAGCTATTATTATTACTATTATCATTATGGATCATAGAATCACAGATTTAGAGCTGGAAGGGACTTTAGAGGTCATCTGATTCAACCTCCTTCATTTTAGACTTTCAGAAGCAAAGGCAAAGAGAGGTCAGTTGATTTGTCTCAAGTGATTTGCCTCAAATTGCTCTGCACTTCAGACTATCTTACACGTTGCTGTCAAGATAATTTTCCTTAAACACAGATCTGACCATGTTATTCTCATGTTATACTGACCATGTTATACTCAACCAACTCCAGTGTCTTCTTTTCACCTAAAAGGTAAAATATGAATTCTTCTGTTTAGCTTTTTAAGCCCTACAATCTGGCCCTAAACTGTCTTTCCAGTTTCACAGGTTATTACTCTCCTCTGTTCTTCACACAAAGTGCTCCATCTCTTGTCTTTGTGTTTTTGCTTTGGCCTCCCATATGCCTGGAAGATACTCCCTCCTTTCTTCTATCTCATAGAGTCACTCTCTTCCTTTGTTGTAGTTGTTTTCTATCCTTCATTTTCAAAGAAGACCAATGACATCACAGGGTGATGTTTTGGCTTATGTGTGAACTGGATTTAAGTGAGGCACAAAGTCATTGAACTCAGGTGCCATCTTCTATAACAAACCTTTTCTCATTCTCCCAACTCTTAGTTCCCTCTCTCCAAAACTACCTTGTATTTAACTACTTTGTATAGATTTGTATTTCTTTACCTTATATTTATGCTGCATTATTTTTACATGTATTTGTTTCCCCCATTATAAGGTAAGTTCCTTGTGAGAAGGAATTGGTATTTTTTTTGTTTGTTTGTTTGGCCAAGCAATGGGGTTAAGTGACTTGCCCAGAGTCACACAGCTAGTAAGTGTTTTGTGTCTGAGGCCTGATTTGAACTCAGGTCCGCTTGACTTCATGGCCAGTGCTCTATCCACTGAGCCACCTAGCTGTCCCAGGAATTGTTTCTTTCCTTGCACTTTATTTCCAGCACCTAGCACAGTGTTTTGAATGCAGGAGGCACTTAATAAATATTTGTCAGTTGATTGATTGGCTGCCCAAGGATACACATGCAGTAAGGTGCAAGCTTCGCTCATTCAGAACAACTTTAGGAGAAGGCCAGTATAAACATATGAACATTATGGACTATAGAATGTTTAAGAAGAAACCTAGTTTTATTACTTTCATGTATATGTATGCATGCATGTCTGTTTATACTTGTATAGATACATACACACACATGAACATCTATGTCTTTATGTAAAAGTATGATTAGAAAAGTAATGCAAATAGTTGAAAATAATTTATTCTCTTAAATAGGCTTAGAATTTCTCCTATAATATTTTTAACGTTATGAATTTGTTATGTGAAGCCTTTTTTTTTTCAAAGATGGTACAAAAGTAAATTTACATTCATGAGAGAAATACCTCAGTCTAACCTAGAGATCAGATTTTCATAGATTCTGAGTTTACCAAAATAAAAATGAATGAGGCTATACTGTATGTAAGTTAACTTTTCTGACATATAATTTATTTAAAATATTGGCTTTATATTATAGACAATGCCCAAATAAGTCTTGTAACTGTTTTTATTTTGTTCCAAGATCCTCAGAAAACACATTGTTGTAATTTTTCATTAGATGTGTGGATAATGTGGTAATAGAAATATATGAAAAAAAAAGAAATATATGACATATGAATAAAGAGCTGGAGCTGGAAGGGACAGTAGAGGCCATCTGGGCCAATTTTCTCATTTTATGGATGAGGACAGTGTGCTCCAAGACTTGCCCAAAGTTGTATACCCTGTTGATCTCACATCTTCAACTGTCAGTCATCTTGAACTGAATGCCCTCTAGACATCTTAAACTCAACATCTCCAAAGCAGAACTCCTTATCTTTTCCCCTAACCCCACTCCTTGCACTTTGCCTATTACTATAGAGTACCATCCTCTCAGTCCCTCAGGCTCACAACTTAGGAGTCACCTGGACTTCTTGCCCTATATCCAAGTTGTTTCCAAGGCCTGTCAATTTCACGTTTGCACCATCTTTCAAATATGTCTCCTTCTCTCCTCTGACACTCCGCACCACTCTGGTACAGGCCTTCATCACCTATGCCTGGATTACTGCAATGCAACCCTGTGTCTACAGTGTCTGGAACCAATATGGTGTTCCCCCAGATCAGAGAGGGGGGAAACAGCTATGTAAGGAGATATAAACTGGTTCATGTCAGAATTAGAGCGGGTCAAAGCTTCTATGCCCATCAACTGTGGAATCAGGCCTGTGAATGGCAGCTACACTTCCAGCCTGGGAGAGAGAGGGAGACTGAGTGTTTAAAAAAAAAATGAACCCAAGTCCTCTGACTTCAAATCTGGGGACTTTCCTATTACATTGTGTAGTCCATTCATTAGCTATATGGCCTGAGACAAGTCATGTAACTTCTCTGAACTTGTTTATTTTTCTATGAAATGGGGATGATAATATCTATAATAACTATCTTCCTTGTTTATTGAGAGACTTAGATGAGATCATGCCTATAAAATGTTTTGCAAACTTTAATGGGCTATATAAATATTATTCATTATTTAAGATTTACAAAGCACCTTCTTCACAACAATTCTGTGAGAGATATAATGTAACCACTTTTATTATTTCCATCTTACATATAAGGGAGTTGGTCTTTCTTAGATCTGAGCACAGAAAAATATTAAACTAACTGCAAAAATGAGGCCACACTGGGTGATCTCTTTATGAGGGATAAATTAGTCCCTTTGTGAATCAGAAAGGAAGCAACATGATAGGAAAAAGGATGACAACCTTTAATAGTCACTGAGTCCAGGAGACAGACTTGAAGAGGGACCTAGATCCTGATGTGCTAGGGAGAAGATACAGGGAACTAGAGAAAAGGGAGCTCTGAGAAGCCACCTGGATCTGGAAGAACGTAGACAGAAGTAATCACAATAAAGAAAGGGCTCCAGGGCTCTGGGAATGAGGCTACTTGGGCCCTTTAAACACATGGCATGTCAGAACATAAGTTATGTTGGTGAAATTCCCCAGACTGTAGACCCTCAAGGAAGTAGTCCTGTGTCTCCTGTCTCCCTTAAACTCCTTCATGGTCAGTCAACTAGTCAGTTGGTCAGTAAGCATTTATTAAGCACCTACTATGTGCCAGATACTGTGCTAAGCGCTAGGGATACAAAGAAAGAAAGAAAAAGACAAAAGATAATTCCTGCCCTCAGGGAGCTCGAAATCTCATGGGAGAGTCAAACAAATAAATGTGTACCAACAAGCTATATTTAGAATAAACAGGAAATAACAGGGAAGATGCTAGAATTAAGAGGGATTGAGAAAGCCTTCCTGTAAAAGGTAGGACAGGAGATATCTTGCCTATAAACTGTGTTATTCTGGAGAAATTGATTAATCTTTCAATGCATCAAACAACTCTCTAAGACTAGAAATTGCTGAGGTGGAAGGATTTCCTCTCTCTATTCCCTAGATGAAATGAGAGAGGGATCAATGGAGAGAGAGGAAGAAAGGATGGCAGGGAGGAGTTTATATGTGTGTCAGCTAGTGTTAGGGAGAAGCCTGACAATGACATCTGTTAGTTCTGATTCAATGTTGGGACAAAAAATAAGTCATTGAATAACTAACAAAAGGAATTTTACTTACCCTTAACATAGCAAGTAAAAGCAACAGGGATGCAGTGGCATGTCCATCAGCTGTACTGTCTTCGTCTCCATATTGAGAAGTATCTGTTCAGAAGGCCAGGGTGTGATGATTCATGGGGTCTACAGACAGCCACCAGATTATAGGGACCCCAGCGCCATGTGGGTTGGACTTCATATCCCCCTGTGTAAACCAGGAATCCACGTAAATACAGCCAGAGGCCACCAAAGCCATGTCAAAGGAAGCACAGCTTGAGCCTTGTCTTCCCCTCCTCTTCTCCCAAGTATTGGCTTTGTTTCCTTTACCTAAACCCACATTAGGAAGTGGGGTACCCTGGTAGAGACTGATTCTAATACAGCTAGTATTGGGGGGAGCTTTATTTGTTTAGACATGAATAATTTATATAAATTTATATAAATGCAGAGGGAGAAATTTAGGGTAGGGATAATAATCCAGTGGGCAGCTAAGGGGCTCAGTGGATAGAATACCAGGCCTGGAGTCAGGAAGACTCATCTTCCTGAGTTCAAATCTGGCTTTAGACACTTACTAGCTGCGTGGTTCTGGGTATGTCACCTAACTCTGTTTGCCTCAGTTTCCTCATCTGTCAAATGAACTGGAGAAGAAAATGGCAAACTACACCAATATCTTTGCCAAGAAAACCCCAAATGGGTTCACTTAGAGTCAAACACCACTGAAAAAATGACTCAACAACAATAATCCAGTGAACTAGACTACCAAGTCACCTTATAAGTTTCTGACACTAATTTTCTATGTAGCTTAAGTGCCTGATTTTCTTCAGTGGAAGAATGAGGTTCATACTTTGAAGTCTTTCAGATTTTGAAGTCTTTGCCTAAAAGACTTTTATTAGCCCAAGAGGCAAAAGGTTCTATTGGAGCACAATGAATGTGGTGAGAGGTAAGAGCTACATTAGAAGGTGAGGAGAAAGGAAGATAAAGAATGCATAGCTGATTTAGAACACTACTAAGATTAGTGTGAAATGGAAAGAAAGAGTCAATTTATTAATTTATTTCTCAGCTCTCAGGAATCAAATTGGTAGAACATTTGATGCAAAATATTCAAATTCATTTATTCATTTTCTCATATGATACGGTAGTAGAGAAAGCCAAACTCCTGCTTCCAAAGTAGATACATAATTCTGATGCTTACAGCAATATGAGAAAACAGTCTGATTGGGAGTTAGGGTTGGGGTTGGGGAGAGGAGAAGGTGGAGAGATGGCAATTGTTACTCTAATTAGTTGATAAATGCAGGTCTGCTTACTCTGTGACATTTCCCACTTGGTTGCTCTCTTAACTGATTGGTATAATTTTTTTCCAGCCTCTGTTTCTCTACCTTGCCCTGCAGTCTGTCCACGAGCCCCTTCAGGTCCCTGAGGAATATCTGCAGCTATACGACTTTATCCAAGACAAGAAGAGGCGTCTTTATGCAGGAATGGTGACCCTTATGGATGAAGCTGTGGGAAATGTCACCAGAGCCCTAAACAAGTATGGGCTGTGGAATAATACAGTGTTCATCTTCTCCACAGGTAAGTCTGTCCGATATAAAATCATCTTCATCCAGAAGCTAGGACGCAGCGTTCAATAAAGTGAATGAAGACAAAGTGGAACATCTAGTGGTTCCTTATTAAAATAGATTTCAACTGCAATGGTAGAGGCATGATAGCAAAAGATAGAAAGATGTTCCTGAAGAAGGAAACAATTATTTTTTTCCTCTTTCAGATGTCAGAATGTTTTGACATGTTCTTGAAAGAAAAGAAAGGTAATTCTACTAGGCTATACATAAATTAATGATATTTATATAGATATATATGCATATGTATATGTGTATATTTTTTTACTTTTTAAAAGTTTACAAAGTACTTTACATACACTATCTTATTACAACCCTATGAGTTAGGTACTGCCGCTATTGTTATCCCTGTTTTACAGGTAAGGAAACTGAGACTCATTGTGGTCGAGTGATTTTTCTCTTGGTCACACAGCTAATAAGAATCAGAGGAAAAATTTTAACCCAGGTCTTGTCTATCCACTATGTCACACTACTTCCTCAGTGTGAATAGGCACTGTTTGAATTTAGCTGTGTAATTAATTAGTACATCGTGAGGCATAGTCTCATTTCTTTTTATAGACTTTGTGTCTTCTCTGGTCTTCAATTGACCAAAAAGGAAACATGATATAAAAAGAAGGATGTATAAAATTGCAGAGAAAGGGGAGGAAATAAGGTCATTTTATCCTGACTCAGTCTATTACTTATTAGATGGAGCCAGAGTATATACACTTTGGGCTGTAATATGAATAATCATCAGGAACACATATTTATTGACATTTTAATGAGGGTCTTTGTTTCTGACTGGCTGGGACCTAGATATAATTCAAATGAACTAGAGGCTGAAATCTTTGTAGTTTGCTGATGTTAGGAAGCCATACTGTTCTAATAAAAGAAGGGCCAAAGTCAAGTTCTATACTTTAATGGATTCTTGATTTGTTGTGTGTGGGGAATCCCATCATCAGTGCAGACTAACAGTCTCTCCAAGTCCACGTACAGAAAAGGGAGTGTCAAGTTAACAGCTGTTACTAAGGGCCTACTATGTGGCACACCTGGTGTTAAGCACTAGAGATGCAAAGAAAGGGAAAAGAAAAAAGCAAAAAACTAGCCTCTGCTAGGAGCTCACCATTTAATGAGGGAGATAGCATGCAAACAACTATGTACAAACGAGATATATCGGGGCAAATTGGAGGTAATCAACAGAGGAAAGCCTTCATAACAAGGGGGGCCAGGAAAAGCTTTGTGCAGAAGGTGGGATTTTAGCTGAAACTTGACAGAGTCTAGGGAAGCTGGGAGGCTCAGATGAGAAGGGAGAGAATTCCAGGCATGGGGGACAGCCAGCCAGTGAATGGAGCTGGGAGAATAGAGTGTTTTGGTCAAGGAAAAATAAGGAAGCCAGTGAAGCTGGATTGTAGAGTACATGAAAGGGGGAGTAAGCTGTAAGCCTGGAAAGGCAGAGGAGGGCCAGGTTATGAAGGGCTTCAAAAGCCAAATAGAGGATTTTATATTTGACCCTACAGGTAATAGGGAACCAGTGGAGTTCTTGAATGGAAGATGACATGGTCAGACTTGTATTTTAGGAAGATCGCTTTACCAGATGAGTGGAGGATGGACTAGATTGGGGAGAGACTTGAGAGAGGGACACCAAGCAGAAAACTATTGCATTAGTCCAAATGTGTAGTGATGACAGCCTGTCAAAGTGGTAGGAGATGGCAGTGTGAGAGGTCATCGGGGAATACATGAGATATGGTACAAACATAGAAATGACAGGACCTAGCAACTGATTGGATATGGAGGGTGAGAGAGAGTGAAGAGTAAAGGAAGACATCTAGATTATGAGCCTGGATGACTGACAGGATAGTGGTCCCTTCCATAGTCATAGGGAATTTAGGAAGAAGGGAGGTGATGAGGAGAAATATCATCTGCATAGAGATGGTAATTGAATCAATGGGAGCTGATGAGATCACCAAGTGAAATAGTATAGAGGGAAAAGAGGGTCCAAGATAGGGCCTTGAGGGACACAGACAAGTGGTTAGTGGTCACAAATGATATTAAGAATCACACTTTTTAGACCATATGCAAGCATTGGTTAATTATTGGTACTCAAAAGTGTATTCAAAGGTTGGGGCAGGTAAGCGGTATAGTGGATAGAGTACCAGACCTGTAATCAACAAGACTCGCCTTTGTGAGTTCAAATCTGGCCTCAGACTCTTACTAGCTGTTTGACCCGGGGCAAGTCACTTCACTCTGATTGCTTGTTTCCTCATCTGTCAAATGAGCTGGAGAAGGAAATGGCAAACCGCTCCAGTATCTTTGCCAACAAAACCCCAAATGAGAATCCGACATGACTGAAAATGACTGAATACACAGCACACACTCAAAAGTTATGATATTTATCCCTAAACCAATGAGACAGATTCTGACCCTCTGTAAACCAAAGAGGGCTAACAGCTCCATAAATGACTAGTGCTTATGTCAGGAGTTATCACTGGAAGGCCTGAGCCAAGAATGTTGAGGAGAAGGCAGTAAAATGGGGTGTTTGAAAAGTTTATGGAATGTTGCAGGATAATGATCCTGGTAATCTTTACAAAGTGAGCGTGTATTTTTAATAGCAATTTTCCAAAATAATCAGTTTCACTTGCACTTAGATAAGGCTGTCAGGGGAAGCTAAGGTTGAAGTTCTTTCCAGGATGATTTTTATTATGTTAATTGACAATTTAAGCCACCCGAGGTGGAATTAATACTATGATTGAAATCCAGGGTGATTAGCCTTGCTCGATTTGGCAAATTGTAGGAAAAGAGATTCATTTTTTCCAGACTTCTTAGTCTGTTTCAGGCAGATTTTCTTTACAGGCATAGAAACACTGTTTGTGTTGGAGGCCCAGCTTTCAAACAAACAAATGTTGAAACCATTATGTACAGAAAACCGTGAAATATATTCCGCTTCTTCGTGTCGTGCTCACATTTTGTGGAAGGAAGAGGCAAAAGGGGTGGGGGAGAGGAGTGTTTGCAGGGAAATATTTTGGGAGACTTTGTGTGATGTTGTTCCATTGGATTAATTTTTTCCCATCGATACCCTGGGCCCTCTGACTTCTTCCACCCTCTAGCCTCTGGGGGCCTGAGGTGGCCAGTGCTGAAGCCATGAGAGATACTTAACGAGGATTTGGGCATCCAGAAGTAAATTCGATTTAAAGCCCAGTCTCTTGCCTGAAAATGGGGAATTCCTAAATTTCCCATTTCAGTTGGAGGAGGTCTCTCTGCCCCTCCTTTTGTGTGTGGGTGGGGGAATTGGAGGGAGGTAGGGGCGGAGTGAGACTGGACCTATGATTTCATGGATGGAATGAATTTCCAGGAAGAAAATTCCCTCTACCAACAATGCCTAGGGCACTGAAAAGTTCAGATGACTTCTTCAAGGTCATGCCGCCAAAAGTATTGTGTCAGAGTTAGGACTTGAACTCAGCCCTTCCTGGTTCTGAGGCTGGATCTCTACATTCCATGACATGCTGCCTGATCACGTGCTCATTTCAGGAAATAGGCAAAAGGGAGCACAGGAAACTTGTGTATCTTGCTTCCACCTCTCTACTACAAACCAACAAGCCTGAGAAATATCACTCTGACAGACAAATGACAATGAGCAGATTCAGTCTCTATTGCATATTGTTAGAGTCCTGTCAGTACAAATATAATGTATTGTCTTTATCAGAGACAGCACTCAGGACTTGCCTGCAGTAGGACATGATTTGGGTTCCAAGACATTTCTGCTAATAACTAGCTGGTTGTGTGACCTTGGGCGTATCATTCTTTTTCCTCTTCTCCCATCCCCAAATCAGTTACTCTTCTATAAAATGGGGGGGGGGGGTGAGGAGATCTTTTTTTAAAAAAAAGTTTTATTGGTGCCTTTTCTTTTTACATAGAATTTGGTTCTAAATATATACCTACCCATCCCATCTCTGCATTGTAGCAAAGAATAAAAATTAAAAAAAAAAAGCCCTACCACCAATACATTGGCTATATCTGGTGATTGGCTATATTCTGTCCCTGTAGTCCCCCTCAGAAGAGGCAGATATATTTCGTTATCTGTTGTTGTTTCCAGGAGCAAGATTGGGTATTGCAGTTCCTCATAGTATGATTTTCTTTTAGTATTCTTTTTACTATTGTCTTTACTGTATACATAGTGTTCTTCTTGTTGTTATTTCATTCTGTATTAGTTTATATAAATTTTCATGTTTCTTTAAATTCCTTACACCTGTCACGTCTTATTTAATGGACCATGATAATCATAGACTGTGCATGTATTTCACATACGTGTGTGTGTAATGTATACATGCGTGTGTGTACTTGTTGTCTCCTCTGTTAGAATGTAAGCTCCGTGGGGGTGGGGTAGGGGGTAGAGATTTTCACATTTGTCTTTGTATTTCCTGCATCTGGCACAGTGCAGTGCCTAGCTCAAAGCAGGTGCTTAGTGAATACTCGAGTGATTGATTCCTCAGTCAGTGGATGCTTGCTTTGTTTCTAGATCTTTGCCTGGAGAAGTGCTTTTATGCTCGTACATAATTGTTTGCATGTTGCTCTCCTATTGGACTGGGAGTTCCTTGAGAGAAGGAACCATTTTGGCTTTCTTCATATCCCTGGCACTTAGCACAGTGGCTGGCACATTGCAGAGGCTTAATCCATGCCTGTTGACTTCACTTGACTATGAATTTTCAGTCAGTCAGTAAACTTATTTAAATTTATTATTAAATTTATTATGTGGCTCCTGTAGTGCTAAGCATTCTGCTAAATGAAAGGCAAAAACAGTCCTCATCCTCAAGAAGCTTATAATCTAATGGGAGAGACAACGTGCAAACAATTATGATCAAGCTATATATATAAGATGAATATAGTGATTTGTTTATGCTGCTCCATTGACATTATCTTCTCAGCTCCTTCATGACTACTATTTATTTTTCTCAATTACATGTAAATAAAAATTTTTTAACA